CCAAGGGCTACAAACTACGGGTTTTTTTGTTCCCTCCCCTCTTCAGTTTCTCACCTCCCAACCTTTGTGACCCCACACAGATTAGCAGATCTTCTTCAAGTATTATCTGGTATTCTCTATCAAAGTGCCCTTGTTCTTGTGGCTAAATGTTTTCTGGGGTTTTATTCCAAGCGGTTATCCATTCCCAAACAGATTGGTCATCCACCCCATCTTGGAACTAAAAACACAATGTATTCCTCAGTCATTACGGAATTCCCGCAGATCTGTCTTTGTTTCCCTTCAAAGTTTTCAGACTTCAATGGACATCAAGGACACGTACCTATATGTCCCTATCTTTCTAGTGCATCATTGTTTCGATGTGGGACCTCCACACTACCTGTTTGTGGCGTTGCCCTTAAGCCTCTTGTCTGCACCTCGGGTGTTCACCAAAGTGCTGGCACTGCTGTATTCTCATGGCGTCATCCCCATTGTGGGAAACTTACCGTGTTTCCCCGAAAATAATACACTGTCTTATATTTTTTTTGGCTCAAAAAAACACACTAGGTCTTATTTTCGGGGTAGGTCTTATTTTGGGGGAAACAGGGTAGTTGACTGTTCCCTGAACGGGAGATTATCTGTCACTGGAACAGGTATGGAATACCTGGGTTTAGTCCTGGACACAGCGCAGGTCAAAGTGTTTCTACCAGAGGAGAAACTTTAGATTCTACAATATCAGGTTTGCTCTCTCCAGTCTGGGAATCGTCAGACTTTGCTTTTCCATGAGAGTCTTGGGTCTGATCTTAGCATTCTTCGAGGCATTAGAAAATGTAAAGGGACATTCTGTCATCCTGAGACAAGTCAGCCCAGTCCCTAGGTAGACTGATTCATTTGGCACTGTTAGATGTCAGCCTTTTGGGCTGACAAGCAGTCCGGGGCACTGCAGGGGACTTCATCTTCATCCGTCTCATTTCCTGTTCAACATCCTAAAGCTTTGGTCAATTTGGCTGTCTTTGCAGAGTTGGATCATCCTGCTGGAGGGTAGTTGCCAGATTCAGTTGGATAACACACATACATTAACCAACAGGGAGGAAACAAGTGTCTTGCAGCAGCAAGAGAGGTAGATCGCATCCTGTCCTGGCCAGAACTTCACACTCAATCTTGTTTGCTGTGTACATCTTAGGTGTGGGCAGTTGGCAGGTAGACTTCCTCAGTCAGCAACGTCTAGAACCGGAGGGGTTCTGGGACCTGTGTCACAGGTGGAGAATGCCAGATATGGACCTCGTGACTTACAGGTTCAGCTACAGATTGGACTGGACAAGGTAGATTTGATACCAACACTCAGTTGGGACTGGTTTACTATCTTGCTTCTTGGTCATTGGTTTTAAGATTTGCAAGGTTGCCACCTGGTCTTCTGTTCACCCATTCTCTAAGTTCTACCAGGTGGGTTTGCTCTAATCCCAGCTTGGGGTCTAGGGCCTGGCTCTTTAAGGTGCAGGCTGTCCCCAGTAATGGTGTTTGTGGGCCAGTTAGTGTTTGCTGTTGCCCACAATCAGTTGAACTGCTTTTCCCAATAGTCCCTGAATTAACAAAAAAAAAAAATATATATATGTAAAATACATTTTTTGGGGTTCATGGAGAAACACAGTTCCCACTCCTCTGCGTTTATGATCATGCTTTTCCACAAGTTTAAGGCATGCTGGGAATAAGAGGGGTTATAGTGGACTGGCCACAATTTTTTTGTTTACCAATGTTCAAATCCTCCTGTAGGCGGCAGTATAACCAAGAGTCTCTGAATTCCTGTTTCCCTGAATGAACTCCAAGTAATGGATTATATGGTAAATACAAAAATCCAACGTTAAGCCACCAACACCTGGATGGTGCATGTTGGTTGGGTTGAAATTCGGTCCTACTATACTATTCTATTCTATACTATACTTTACTACGGTACACCTCAAATTGTTAGTATGTATAAAAAAAATGAGTGATTTGTTTCTCCCTAACGTAATGTTTGCTGGTGTGGACACTCCTGAAGATCTGTCGGAATCAATGTATCAGGAGCTTCTTCAAACTGGTGGATTTGTCGTATCTTATAAAGCTCTATTGGAAAACATATCCATAGGTGAGCATTTTATGAATTCTTGTTTAGGTTCTGTAACTTCTGTGCTGGGTTTTATGTGGTGTACAATTAATGTAATTGGGAGAGTGATTTGTTCCCTGCTTAAATCAGCTGAACTTCTTAACACTACTATTGAATGGATCTAATGTTGTGAAATGCAAAGCCATCACTTCCGGGAATGCCGCATAATATGAACCATTGCATTAAACCACTGTTGTATAACTGCTGATTTTGAGAACATATGGCATATAGTATGTACTTGGTAATAAATTAAGAGCAAATGTTTTTTGTGTTTTTACTGATTTATTTATCTCTGTACAGATAAACTAAAGGAAGTCCTGACAGTATTAGAGAAGGGGAATCTAACGTCAGCTTGGAAGTGGCTCATTCATTACGGAGAGTACAGGAAACTTAAGGAAGATAAAAGGTATCCTTGAACAGCTAGGTGCATTGGGGGTTCCTCTGCTTGTCCCTTATGCTTACCCCAGCATGCAAAGCGAGTCCCAGCACTGGGTTTCATTTTGTTCCAGTCCATGTGGAAGAATCCAGTCCATAATTTGAATGTACCCATAGATATTCGAAAACCAGAAGATGCAATTATTCATCAGCCAAAATCTATATTGTGGGTAAACATCAGTAAAAGTCTTAGTGAACATGCTGAATATGGAAGCTTCAACTGCATATGTGATTGAAGAATATTCCATCCAGTTAAGCTAGATGTAGCTAGGTGTAAGTG